AAGAGACCAGAGTGAGGCTGAACTACCACCTGAGAACTCACCATTATATGGACTCGTTGGCAGCTGAGATCCAGCTGGAACACAGACGCACTGTATATGATACACTGTCAAACAATATGTACAAGCTCCACAGGTCATCTGACAGACACCTGCCTGTGATTGGCTGATCTGTCGTGACATGTGTATTACAGTCTTTTGAAGCAGGAAGGTCAAAGGTCACTTACTGGCTCCAGGAACAACCAGCAGGTACAGACCATCCAACGTGGCGACCACAGCATCGTTGTAAAGGTTCTTCCAGGGAATTTTCAAGGTCAGCTTCCCTGAAACACATGTGGACTCAGGTGAGACTCCCTGGTCTCTGCTGGTTCACTGAAACAAGCAGCTCTGTAGTCATCCTAGACAGACCTGATCAGAACTGAACAGTCCTGAACAGTTCTGCATTGCTAGTCTTGAACAGTCCTGGACCCAGCTCTTCTTCTTTTTCTGCAGCAGTTTGTTTTATCAGTGGAGTTAAACCTTAAACAGCCGTTAAACCAACGTGTTATCATCTGACGGCAGGTTTAATCTCTCTCACACTCACACACACTCACACACACTCACACTCTCACACACACACACTCACACACACACTCACACATACATACACACACTCACACACACTCTCACACACACACACACACTCACACACACACTCACACTCTCACACTCACACACACACACTCACACTCACATTCACACACTCTCTCACTCACACACACACAGCTGAACTCTGTCTGATGATGTCATCATGTTCTCTGATTACCTCACATTACTGTTACACTCCTGTTGATTCTTATTTTATTTTGAAGTTGAAGTGTGTGATCTTATTCTGAAGGTCTCTCCCATACCTAGACTGAGGACTCAGGACTCAGTCAGTACTCACCGATCTGTCCGGCCTTCACTTTGAAGGGAACATCAAACTCACTCTGAAACACAAACACACACACTGTTATCATTACAGCTCAATACTTGGTTGATAACTGATCCGCTGATTGGAGGAATATTGATGTGTCTGTGTTTGGGGGGGGGGGGGGGGGGGCAGGTTCAGGACTTACCAGAGCGTTCTCCTTCACCTTCAGGTTCTCCAGAACAACATTTCCTGCAGAAGAAGAAACAGTTTAATTAAAGGACCAATAGTCATGTAACCGTGTGAACACATGAATGTGTGAACAGGTACATGATGTTTCTGATGGACGTGATGATACACGACCCTCATTCTGTGTGAATCTGAAGATTATCTGAAGGTAATAATCAATAGGCTTATTGATTAGTCTTTAAACTGATCCAGGTTATTTTCCATCATGAACACTCAGCAGCTCAGAGCTGTCAGCTGATTGGTGGAGCCAGCTGTGAGGTGTCATGTGTCTGAGGTATGACCTACAGGAGTTTCCCTCCAACATGTGTGACACAAAGCCAATAACATTACAGAGGAATCCAACCTGTTGGACAGGTGCAGCTTTACAACATGTCCGATCATAACCACCTGTCATCAACATAATACATAAACTGACTTAACTCTGTGTAATAATATACATCTGTTTAGTGAATGTGAACACATGAGCATGTGAACACATGGACATGTGAACACATGAACACAAGAGCATTTGAACACATGCGCATGTGAACCCGCGCGCATGTGAACACACAAACAGATTTGTATTTGTTCTGTGGAGATGAACGTGTTTTTGTTTTTGTTTTGTTTGAGAATTAAATTCTCTCCATCATCGTCTTGTTTTCTTTGAGTCCACTTCCTGTCTGATGTCGGTGTGGTTGGAGGGAGGGCGGTTGTTTATTCCTGCTGACCCGATTACTGACGTTCTGTGACGGTGAAATTATCACGCCAGACCTCATTTGAACAGCCTCTAATTAAAAGAGAATGAGTTCGCTGGTGGATGTAAAACATGAAAACGAATGACTGGATGGTTTCTCTCTTCGTCGTGAGCCGTTTTCCACTTCGGCAAACATTGAATCAGCCAACAACCCCTCTAATTAACAAAACATTATATTTACAACCACAACAAATCACTCGTTTCCGTTAACGTCGCGCTCGCTTTTGGCGGAGATATGGCGGGAACAACCAGCGAAGCTTTGACTAAAATTAACATTTAATCGAAACAAAGGCTGGTTTGTTGTTTAGATTAATGCCGACACTAAGAACTGACCCTGTGCTTGTGTTAGATGTTCGGAAATGTTCTACGGCACGTTTATAATAGTACAGAAAGCGATGACTTTTAAAGTATGATATTTCTGAACGAAGTCTGGCATTGCTCCGCGTATTACCGCGGCAGCTGCTAGCTAGCTGCTGAGCTCACCTCCCCAGATCCCGATCTTGAGCTGAGACTTGTCCAGGTTCTCCACGTAGTCTCCGATGAACCTGTTGAGCAGGTCACTGACCAGAGACTCGAAGACCATGGTTGAAAGCTCCGGACTGGACCCTGCTGCAGGGTCACCGTGAGTCGGATTTCATCTGATTTCCGGTTCAGATGATGATAGTACTCAAGGATCGACTGTCTCTGGGATCGACCTTGTTTGATTAGTGCTGTCTGTGTATGGACAGCAGCGTGTGTGAGAGAGAGCATCGATCAGTCAGCTGATGGAGGGTGTGTCTGTTTAAAACACACACACACACACACACACACACACACACACACACACACACACACACACACACACACACACACACACACACACACAGGTGGTAGAGCAGGTTGTCTGTGATTGCAAGGTTGGTGCTGAAGTGTCTGTGTATGCACATACTTCAACTGATGATGATGATTAGTCTTTGTGTTTACACAGACATGATGAAGACTTCACTGTCTCTGACTCTTCATCAAACAGAGGTCAGCCGTCGTTCAGCCGTCGTTCAGCCGTCGTTCAGCCGTCGTTCAGCCAGCCGTTTGTGTTGATCACAAATGAAGAGCTGCTGTTTCTGTCTGCCAGTGTGTTTCAGATCAAACCACCAGAGGGCGCCAGAGTCTGTACATCTAATGTGCCCTCAGTGAGCACTTTATTAGGAACACCACACTAACACTGGGTAGTTCCTCAGTTTTTCATGTCATGGATCCACCAGAGACTCTGCTCCATGCTGACATCATCATCATCATCATCATCATCATCATCATCATCATCATCATCATCATCATCATCACATAATTTCTGCAGATTTGTCATCTGCAGATTCCTGCTGCCATTGTCCTGTTCTACCACATCCCAAAGGTGTTATACTGGATCCGGGTCTGGAGACTCAGATAGACTGAGACATTCAGACCATGATTGATTGATTGATTGATTGATATTAAGAACAAAACATTCCCCACACCATCACACCACCTCGACCAGCCTGGGCTTTGTTGGGTCCATGGGTCCGGACTCTGACCATCTGCTTCCTCAGCACAAATTCAGATCCATCAGACCAGGTCTTCACCTTTCCAGGGTTGGTGAGACTCAGGTTTCTGGTTTTGCTGACAGGAAGTGGAACTTGACGTGGTCTTCTGCTGTTGTAGGTTGGACGTGTTGTTCACTCTGAAGCTTTTCTGCTCACCAGAGATGTAAAGAGTGGTCATCTGAGTGATCATAGCCTTTCTGACCTCTGACCTCTCTGTCTCAGTTTATTGTGTATTTACAGTCTGAGCTCTTTGTATCTGACAGTTTGTCTGTTTTTAAATCTGAGGTAACGAGACTCAGTGTTTCACTTCCTCCCTCATCAAACATTATAAGGGCTGATTTTATTGTGAAAGGTCACACATTTTATTATACTGCTGTGTGAACATCAGTTGTAATCAGTGTTCAGTGTCGGAGGTAGCTCAGACTGGACTCTGATCAGATCAAGACCAGCTTTTTGAAACTGATCCTGGTTCAGTTTGATGGATCAGGACAGGCTTTTCACAATAAGAGCTGTTCAAACATATTCATGTTTCTTCATGTTTATAAAAACTCATCTCACTGGCTGATGACACTCCACAATGACCTCCAGTGTTCATCTGCAATACAGCAACTCACCTGTTAACCCTACATTGTTACCACGGTAACAGCCCAACAGGAACGTACCTCAGGCTGAAACAGGAAGTGTGTGTAGTTTGTTGTTGGTCTGATAAGGACAAACACGTTAATCAGAGTGATTTCCTCCTGATGGTCTTTAATCAGTAGAGTGCAGCTGTGATGTCACTGTTCAGAGAATCACTGCCATGTTTTTAGAGAGAGGATGAGGAGGAAGAAGATTGACGATAATAGAAGAAGCATGAACTGAGCAGCTGAAGCGGCTGATCTAATGTTCTCCAATCGAACAGAGAGAGGATCATTAGTGAGACGAGCTTTGACAAACACAGGGTTAATGACTCGGGACGTTCTGTCCAGTAGCTGATGGAACAACAGTGAGGACGCTTAATATAGATTAACATAGAATGCAACCATCATCAGTAAGAGGTCATATCAACATGAACACTGTGTGAATACATGAATCAATGAAATGGTTAATATGTGTCTGCATAGTCAACAGTTCAGCATCAGTTCAGTCAAAGCCAGATATTTATTTACTTATTTATTATTTAACTTGAGAACACAAGAGAAACTGTCAGTCTGATCTTCACACATCACAACAACAACAACAACAACAGCAAAAACAAAGACAGCTACAACAACACTCATGTTTTGTCGGTTTTTTAAGTCCTTTATTTGATGTGTGGATGTTTGTGTGTGTGTCGTGGTGGTGGTGGTGGTGGTGGTGGGGGGGGGGGGGCTGTCATCAGCCAGTGAGATGAGTTTTTATAAACATGAAGAAACATGAATATGTTTGAACAGCTCTTATTGTGAAAAGCCTGTCCTGATCCATCAAACTGAACCAGGATCAGTTTTCAAAAAGCTGGTCTTGATCTGATCAGAGTCCAGTCTGAGCTACCTCCGACACTGAACACTGATTACAACTGATGTTCACACAGCAGTATAATAAAATGTGTGACCTTTCACAATAAAATCAGCCCTTATAATGTTTTGATGAGGGAGGAAGTGAAACACTGAGTCTCGTTACCTCAGATTTAAAAACAGACAAAACTGTCAGATACAAAGAGCTCAGACTGTAAATACACAATAAACTGAGACAGAGAGGTCAGAGGTCAGAAAGGCTATGATCACTCAGATGACCACTCTTTAACATCTCTGGTGAGCAGAAAAGCTTCAGAGTGAAAACACGTCCACCTACACAGCAGAAGACCACGTCAAGTTCCACTTCCTGTCAGCAAAACCAGAAACCTGAGTCTCACCAACCCTGGAAAGGTGAAGACCTGGTCTGATGGATCTGAATTTGTGCTGAGGAAGCAATGATGGTCAGAGTCCGGACCCATTGGACCCAACAAAGCCCAGGCGGTCGAGGTGGTGTGATGGTGTGGGGAATGTTTGTTCTTAATATCAATCAATCAATCAATCAATCAATGGTCTGAATGTCTCAGTCTATTCTGAGTCTCCAGACCCGGATCCAGTATAACACCTTTGGGATGTGGTAGAACAGGACAATGGCAGCAGGAATCTGCCAGATGACAAATCTGCAGAAATTATGTGATGATGAATGATGATGATGATGATGATGATGATGATGATGATGATGATGATGATAATGTCAGCAATGGAGCAGAAGATCTCTGGTGGATCCATGACATGAAAAACTGAGGAAACTACCCAGTGTTAGTGTGGTGTTCCTAATAAAGTGCTCACTGGGGCACATTAGATGTACAGACTCTGGCGCCCTCTGGTGGTTTGATCTGAAACACACTGGCAGACAGAAACAGCAGCTCTTCATTTGTGATCAACACAAACGGCTGTGCTGAACGACGGCTGAACGACGGCTGAACGACGGCTGAACGACGGATGTTTGTTTGATGAAGAGTCAGAGACAGTGAAGTCTTCATCATGTCTGTGTAAACACAAAGACTAATCATCATCATCAGTTGAAGTATGTGCATACACAGACACTTCAGCACCAACCTTGCAATCACAGACAACCTGTCTCTACCACCTGTGTGTGTGTGTGTGTGTGTGTGTGTGTGTGTGTGTGTTGGTGTGTGTGTGTGTGTGTGTGTGTGTGTGTGTGTTTGTGTGTGTGTGTGGTTTGTTAACAGACACACCCTCCATCAGCTGACTGATCGATGCTCTCTCTCACCACGTCATCTGCTGTCCTACACAGACAGCACTAATCAAACAAGGTCGATCCCAGAGACAGTCGATCCTTGAGTACTATCATCACTCTGAACCGAAATCAGATGAAATCCGACTCACGGTGACCCTGCAGCAGGGTCCAGTCCGGAGCTTTCAACCATGGTCTTCGAGTCTCTGGTCAGTGACCTGCTCAACAGGTTCATCGGAGACTACGTGGAGAACCTGGACAAGTCTCAGCTCAGATCGGGATCTGGGGAGGTGAGCTCAGCAGCTAGCTAGCAGCTGCCGCGGTAATACGCGGAGCAATGCCAGACTTCGTTCAGAAATATCATATTTAAAAGTCATCGCTTTCTGTACTATTATAAACGTGCCGTAGAACATTTCCGAACATCCACAAGCACAGGGTCAGTTCTTAGTGTCGGCATTAATCTAAACAACAAACAGCCTTTGTTCGATTAAATGTTAATTTTAGTCAAAGCTTCGCTGGTTGTTCCCGCCATATCTCCGCCAAAAGCGAGCGCGACGTAACGGAAACGAGTGATTTGTTGTGGTTGTAAATATAAATGTTTTGTTAATTAGAGGGGTTGTTGGCTGATTCAATGTTTGCCGAAGTGGAAACGGCTCACGACGAAGAGAGAAACCATCCAGTCATTTCGTTTTCAATGTTTTACATCCACCAGCGAACTCATTCTCTTTTTAATTAGAGGCTGTTCAAATGAGGTCTGGCGTGATAATTTCAACCGTCACAGAACGTCAGTAATCGGGTCAGCAGGAATAAACAACCCCCTCCTCCAACCACACGACATCAGACCAGGAAGTGGACTCAAGATAAGAAAAACAAGACGATGATGGAGAGAATTTAATTCTCAACAAAACAAAAACAAAAACCATCTCATCTCCACAGAAACAAATACAAATCTGTTTGTGTGTTCACATGCGCGCGGGTTCACAATGCGCATGTGTTCAAATGCTCTTGTGTTCATGTGTTCACATGTCATGTGTTCACATGCTCATGTGTTCACATTCACTAAACAGATGTATATTATTACACCAGAGTTAAGTCAGTTTTATGTATTATGTTGATGACAGGTGGTTATGAATCGGCATGTTGTAAAGCTGCACCTGTCCAACAGGTTTGGATTCCTCTGTAATGTTATTGGCTTTGTGTCACACATGTTGGAGGGAAACTCCTGTAGGTCATACCTCAGACACATGACACCTCACAGCTGGCTCCACCAATCAGCTGACAGCTCTGAGCTGCTGAGTGGTTCATGATGGAAAATAACCTGGATCAGTTTAAAGACTAATCAATAAGCC